GCCTTTTGTATTAATGATTGTTTTATGTGTACCTTAGTGTTAGGTAAAATATGAAAGTAGTCTGTGGGGAATGAATTCAGGGCTTAAAGGCATTAGAGGAAGACACACTCATACCACATGAGCTGAGATGCTCGTTATTTGGAGATACTGTTAGGGAGGCAGGCTCACAGCCATGCATACTGCACAGCAGCCAAAGGACAGTGCTGGCCCCGTTCTCAGGCATGGCAGGAGTTAAAGATGAATTTTCCTCTTCCTCTCCAAAGCTGGCTGATGCAGGTCAACAATCTTCTGCAACCTTTCTGTGTTACCACAAGACTCTGTTACTCACCCCTAAAATACGGTTTTTAACATTAGTCAGTGTTATGCGCCGTGTCTAGTTTGTAGCTAAGAAAAACCTAAAGACTTTCTTCACCTCTAGCTTAACCCATTTTGAAGTAAAACTGCAAGAGTGGTTCAGGTCTCACTGGTTTCCAAATGAAGTGCCGTAACCCCAGCAGCATGTAGCACCTACGTGGAGCTCACAAGCTAGACACAAACAGAGCTCATGGCTCAATCCTGCCAAGAGGATTGAAAACTTAGAGGTAAAATGGGAAAGGAAGGCTGCTGGAGAAAAAATTATCTTGGAATAACCGCTTGACATGATAGTAATTTTCATCAAGTATGATAATTTCCAGTAGCATTATTGAACAAGAATTACAGACCTTATTTTCAAACTTCCGTGTCCTTATGGACAATTTATTTTATTTATTTCCAATACATTATTAATTCTACCTTGCATCCTATCTCATTTTATTTTATCTCTCTTGGATGCCCAGTTACTTTTATTAAATATTAATAGCTATCTTTTAATTTATCCTGTAATTTGGAAACAGAAGAGCACTGCAGTGGTTTCTGAGTTTCCGAGGGACGATATTTCTGTATGGTGATGGAGGACTCCGAATGGCAGTGCATCTATTTCACTGGGTATCAGGCCCAGGCTGACAGCACACCGATTGTCCTGCCACTCTTATCCTGTGGAGGCAGAAGATAATTTGTAGAGCTGTATGAAAATGTCAAAAGAGATAAAAGGCTACCCTCCACATTTCATACATCCAGGAGGGGTGTTCAAGTGGGAACCAGCATCTTTGAGACAGAAAAAACAGCTATTCAGGCAGAACCAATGTACTTCAGCTTTAGAGATGAGTCTCTCTTTCCAGGGCTTTTCCAAGGCTTCTGTGCCAGGGTTTGAACATCAGGAGTTCAGGTCACAGCAATCTGCCTGGCAGTGTCTGAAAACGGGGAAGATCTGTGGCATGTTGAGCTGAGCATTCAAAATCCATTTTATTGTAGGACTTTGGCACTCCAGCAGCACTAGAGCACTAACTGCAGATGAGCCACTGCTTACTGAGGATAGCCTTGCGACTCAAAACAGCAGGAGGGTCTCTGCTGTGTCTCAGGATGTTTGGGATGGGCTTTGGGGGGTTTCCTGGCCTCCAGTCATTGATTTGCTTATTAGGCAAGAAGACAGTGATGTACTCCCTGGCTCACTGACAAACATTTCACACTGACTTTCCCTCTTGTTTTTTGAGTTTAGATGATGGCTACTCAGAATACCCTCAAGCACTGATGTATGTGTGCAGTCAAGGATATTGTCACCTCCTCAATAGAATGAGGAGGGACATTAAACGTTATAAAGTGTCATTCTGAATCAGCTTTAAAATCTCTTGTTTCAGGACAAGCTGTAAAGTGGTTATTCATTTTAGATAGAAGTCAGTGGAGATTTATTCTTGGCCTTTCCTAAAAATGATTGATTAGACGATTATGTTATTTAAGGTGCCCAGAGGGATTGAGAATCTTTATCCTTTGGGTGAGGTTGATCCCTCTGACCAAGCCTGTGAAGTTTGTCAGTGTGTGCAGTGGACTAAATCAGGTTTGCCTTAGACCTCGCTCTGCTTCACAATTTAAAAACAAATAAATAGCTCCCCCTCCATGTTCTTAGATTAACATATTTCAGTATTTTCCCCTGTACTTAAAAAAAGTGTGATTCCAATGGCACCTTTGTACTTGAGAATGTGGTGGTGTTCAATGACCATGCAGGGATGATGCTTTCTGTTCAGAAGTAAACATGGCTCTGCCATCTGCTGCTCAGAGTTGTCTGAAAACCCAGCAGGCAATGCTTAGAAGATAAGGATTTTTCCTATGCTGTACATACCCAAACAGACCTGCCTTTTAGTTCTGGACATAGGTTCCCAGTGCTTTATGTTAATGAATTAACCACCTGTCTCAGAAATATTTCAAAGACTTCACTGAGTTTTGTTGAACTCAATCCTCCCTATTTAAAATTTATCTATTTCGTTTTATCTACAACAGTTCTGAAGGTTCTAAAGGACAAGAAGAGGGCAGAATTTATAAGAATTAAAGGAGGAACTTTAGGGAACTAAAATGTTGTAATTACTGATGGAATAGAGGATTGAGCTTTCAGGGTAATTGTTCAAATCCACCTTAAGATGCTCAATTGCAGACACATACACGTTTATATGTATGTATGTATGTATCAATTTTTATTCAGCTGAGTAACCCTGGTGCTTATAACTATTCATGTACACAGAAGTACTCAAATATATGTTCGGAAATTAAGGGCCTAAGTCTGTCTTTTGTGGAAATCGTTACAATTCAATTCATAATAGAGCATACTGGTATACGGGTACTTAACAGAAATTGGCAGAGCTAAAATATTGGTGCCAGTAGGGCAGCTGTTAACACAGCTGGAATTAAACAAGGATTTCCCCTGTTTTCCCAAACACAGAAAGCAAACCCTTACCAGGTTCAGTTCATTGGAAAGCTGGCACTCTGTTGACTGCTGTCCCTTGCACTGCTGAACCCTGTCTTGTCACCTTTTTTCTCTCGCCTGTAGCTTCCTCTTGTCCCTCCTCCTGTCTGTACATTGGAAGTTCTTTAGGGCAGACAATGTTTTTTTTCTTACATGCTTCTGTGTAATCACAGTCCATTAACAATCCTGGAACATGTTAAATAATTCAATATCAGGAGAGATCTAGGACCACAAGCTAATACTATGTACAGTATCAGTGATCCTGTAATTAAATGGCTCACTGATTTAATGCAGCTTGCTTTGTTATTGTATTTATTACAATTTTACTAATGTCATTGTTAGTAGAATTATGGGTATAAGGAATTTTCATTCAAGTATAGCCATCAAAACTGTTTGCAGTTCATTGTCTGTTGAAATGGCCGATTTATGTCCTCTGTTTTACTTCAAAGTGGTTCAGGTGCTACCTGAGATGAGAGAGAAAGAGTAAAATAAAGAAAAAAAAAGGAAGGAAAAGTAGGAACTGAAACTCCTCAAAGAAAGGGGCTTTTTCGCTGGTAAACTTTTAAACTTTCAGTTATTCTTTTATCTGAATCTTTGAACTATCTGCTAATGAGAAAGTGGCGTCAGACATCTTCTACCCACAACCAGAAGAAGCAAACCTGAGATTCCTGCTTTAAGTAGGTAATCTCTGATTTATTAAGGAGCATGGCCTGATAGGTTTTGGGAGAGCATTCCAGACATTAGTTGTTCAGTAGTTCAAGGTGATGTATGCAGCCAATTTATTTTCTTAGTATAATTGTAGACTATTTTTCCCTTTCTCAGTTGCTACAGATACACTGAAACTGAAGTGTATCCACAGCTAAAATAGGTGCATGTGTAGGTAGTATTCTCCTTTTAGTAGCAAGGGAGTAGCCTGATGGTTTCTTCATTGCAGAAGCATGATGTTTAAAAGATTGGAGTTCTGAGGCGCTCTTTTAATCTCAAGCTAAAAGAGATTTAAGCACCAAAAAATAGTCACAGGTATCTAAACAGGACTCAGTTGTCACCAGTTCATCATTGCAATATTTTCTGTTTAGAAACTGACACCCGGCTTTGTCATAATATTTGTGGGCTGTGGAGAATGGGAGAGATAATGGGGTTGGCAGCATTTGGAAATCACATAAAAGAGAAGACTGAGTAAAATTCTCAAGAACTGCACAAGAACACGTGATTGGATAATATCCAGTATCTGAGATCTGTATCATATTCCAGTGGTACAAGAGATCCTGTGATACAGAGTGCAGTTCTCGTCATGGCCCTTTAGAATATATATATGGGGGTTTTAGGTTACAGAAGCAATTAGACTTCTGTACAAAATGTTGGTGTTTATTTTCCATTTTAAACAGTGAAAAGATATATATCAAGCCACAAATCAAAAGAGAAATAAAAGGGGGGGGGGGAAGCAAAGAAGTTACTGACAGTACATGCCATTTAATTTCTTTTTATAATAATACTAGATAAGCATATATAATTGAATTTAAAGCAGTTAGTTGAGAGATAGCAAAAGCAATAATTCTTTTACATAACAAGGAATTAGCTTGTAAAAGTGTTTGCCAGAAGCGATGACTGAAGTTGAGAGCTTAAACCAGCCTCTGTGGGTTTAGTTTCTTGGCAGTTCACAGGTGAATTAGGTGGGCATTTTTGCATCATGGGAATGAAGACAGAAGAATTTCCCAAGATAAAAGCAATGCTTGAAATAGTGTTTGTTTCTTGTATTTCCCCTTGAAGACATGTTCCAGGCCATCATGTAAGACATGATTCTAGACTGAATCAGTCACTGCATTGGTTCTTACATAGCTTTATGTAAGGGTCCATATTCACAGAAGATTAAGGTATAAGTACCAGTGTACAGTGTCATAAGCAGGATGATGCCATTTCAGATGCCTTTTCATCCGTTTGAGTATGTGCCTTAATTCTGAGACCATTTTGATGCAATTAATGAATCGGTTGGGCAGGGAGGGGCCTATTTTTAAGAAGTCTTGGGAGGCTAATAGTTTTTAAACAGACAAATATGATGCCAGGCCTTTGCTCTGAACCAGTTATCTTAAGCTAAAATGCTACATAGGACTGGTTTGCCTATCTAATAGTGCTTGGGAGTATCATTAAAGTAATGTTTGAACAACTCTGACAAAACATACTGCTTTTTCCACAGTTAAGGAAGAGGAAAATCTAAAATGGCTGAAAGATTTCTGCAGATAAGGAAAAAAATGCAGCTGCAGAGGAAAACAGAGACAACAATATTTGCACATTCTTCCCCATAACAGACTCTCATTGCAACACTTGAATCAGGCATTGACTCATCTGCGCAAAGCCTTTTACTGCAGGTGCCATCCATTTCATGAGTCTCTTCAGAGGGCATTGGGGGGAGCTGCACTGCAACAGGAATGCCTCAGCCAGATAGAGCAGGTAGGAGAGCAGAGTCTCTCTCCCACAAACAGCAACTTGCTGCAGCTCTTCTCGCTTCAAAGCAGTATTTCATCTTTCGAAATCGTATTCCATGGGGTAAAGGAAATATCACGCTGAGATTGTCAGCAACATTCCTCACTGCTCAAATGGCTTCCTTTGAACAGCTGTTAAGATACCATTTTAGCTTCACATTTGCTCTGAAGGGATAGCGAATAATGAGTGCAAGTTGGAAAGAAACTGTTTGAATTCCTAGGCAGACACTTTATTTGTATTGCACTTACGGTCAGTCAGCAGCAGTGACCATTTGTTTTTAACTGTTACTGGGATCCTGTGTCCTGTGTGTGAGATGAAACACAGCAAAGGATTCATCGCTCCTCTCTCTTATGTTAGGGCAAAAGGACTGGTGGTTGCTGCAGACTGAGTCTCAGGGCAGGGGGGATGTGTGTGAAATGAACCAAGCACCACATTTTGCTATGCACGGGTGGATAAAATACAATGGGAACTGAGGGCACAATCCAGAATATTCCTAGAAAAGTCTCTTATCCCTTCTAGCATCACTTCCCAGGGCAGGGAAGTGCCAGTGCTGGACCAGTTGCCATGGTGGTTCTTCCATTGTCTCATCCTAAAACAGGGAGCAGAAAGTCCTCCAGAGGTGGATGTGGGGAATGGCTTCAGCTTTTCAGCTCTGTGAGGAGAGGGGGGAGAAAAACAGTGCAAAGGCTCATCACATTTATATGACTGCTTTGGCTACAGTCAGTGACACAGCCGAAACCCTCCCCACCAACCTAAAAGCAGCAATGGCACATAGTGCAGGCAGAAAAGTCACTCTTGTGACTAGTAGTAATTCAGAAATGCAAATGGAGAGAAGTGGTTTATGAATTATTTGAGGGGTATGAGGTATCTTGAAGCACAGTACAAGTTTAAGAAATATGTTACATAGCAGTAAGCTCAACAGTTCTGTTGCCAATAACTACAATGATTTAGCATTGTTTCTTTTCTGCAGTTGAACAAAATGCAACAACTACTTCCCTTTATGTATCCTAAGGGCATATTAGGGCAGTGTTTTTGTTTGTGCTATAATGGTCAAAACAGCTTTGCATAACCAGTCACAGTAAAAATCATTTGCAGCATTTGTATTATCTACTTACATGGGCCATTTTTGGCTCCTATGTGGTTTGCAGGAGGTTTGGCTGAATTTCAAAACAAGCTTTTAAAGCTGATTGGAACCAACATGGAATAGTCAGGGTTGGAAAGGACCTTAAGATCATCTAGTTCCAACCCCCTGCCATGTGCAGGGACATCTCACACTAAATCATGTCACCCAAGGCTCTGTCCAACCTGGCCTTGAACACCGCCAGGGATGGAGCATTCACAACTTCCCTGGGCAACCCATTCCAGTGCCTCACCACCCTAACAGGAAAGAACTTCTTCCTTATATCCAATCTAAACTTCCCCTGTTGAAGTTCTAACCCGTTACCCCTTCTCCTATCACTACAGTCCCTAATGAAGAGTCCCTCCCCAGCATCCCTATAGGCCCCCTTCAGATACTGGAAGCTGCTATGTGGTCTCCACACAGCCTTCTCTTCTCCAGGCTGAACAGCCCCAATTTTCTCAGCCTGTCTTCATAAGGGAGGTGCTCCAGTCCCCTGATCATCCTGGTGGCCCTCCTCTGGACTTGTTCCAACAGTTCCATGTCCTTTTTATGTTAAGGACACCAGAACTGTACATCGTACTCCAAGTGAATTCTCTTGGGAGCAGAGTAGAGGGGCAGGATCATCTTCTGCTTGACATCAACTGAAGCTAAAGATGAGCTTTACATGACCAAAAAATGGAAGAGGAGGTACTTTGTATTCTTATGTGGCCCAGAGAGCAGTTTTGCTTTTCCTTAAAATTAATGTGTAAAAAGAGAATTTAAAAAGAGAATGAAAAAAATGCATCACATGTATTTTTTTTTTTTGTCTTGAATCACAGAATTTCTCACAGATTCAATGGTATGTGAATTATGATAACAGAAAAGCAACCAAGCACATACCCATTTTCAGCATTAAGTCTTGTGGTAATTGGTGCGTTTAAATTTACCAGTTACACTGAATTATTTTTGCAGGATAGTACTTTTTTCCTAGTTCGTGTATCATATCAGATTTCAGATTATCTCATGCTTATGTTGAATAATAACTCATTACACAGTTAAATGAGTCACTGTGGGGTTATCTACATAGGTAATACTGATACCATGCCGCAGGCTGAATCCAGCCCCAGTTCTGTCACTATCATCCCAATGGAGCTGTATGAAATACAGTAAGATTATCTGTATGCTAATCACATAAATCAAGATGGAAAAAAGGTAACATCAGTGTAGATGTATAAGTCATAAAAGATAAGCAATGTCTGGAGTTGGTAGGTTACTTCCACAGTTGTATAGATTGTTATTTGAAGGAGGGCTGGAGCGATGCACTCTTTGCTGACACTTGGAAAACACAGTAAATACTTCACGGAACGCATCAACTGCTCTCAGCTTTGTGTGCGACACTGAACTTGTATGAAGCGCATTATTATTAAGGATTAACTACAACATTACCTTTTAATAGGATCATAAATCTTTAATTACAGTTCAGTATGGTACCAACTAAAATTGCTTTTGGAATGAAACACTTTTATTGAATGATATGAATACGAAATTTCTTTCAGAGGTAAAAAAAATCATAACTTCTCAGGGCGAAGTTAAGGCATGCAAAACTCCCACTGACTTTAAAGGATGCCAGTGTCTGCCCACTGATTAACATGGGATTTACCCAGTCTGCCATTACTGTTTTTACTACTTTTAACGCCCATTAAAAGTGTGTGCCCCTCTGTGGTTGTTATATTTATAGTTGTTTTTTAAATTCACAATGGTGTCAGCTCTAATTATGTGAGAGATCTCATCCAGGCACTGGAGAAACAGCAGGTTGGTGGTGGGTGGTTTTCATCAAGAAACAAGAGTGTTCACTGAAACTGTATTAAAAGTACAGCTGGAATTTCGTTCCAGTTGAAACATGAATGCCCATTACTGTCATTGCAGCTGCAGTTTCTGCTCCAGCTTAGCTTCCCTGTAGTGACCTTTCCAAACATGTGTCTCCTCAGGCTCGGAGGCTGCCTGTGGCAGAAGGGCTGTGCCAAGGGAGGCAGCCTTTGGACAAGTGATGGGGTCAAATGCTGTAGTGATGGGAAAGTTTTTAAAATGTACAGAAATGCATATTGTTGCTTGGAGGGTTATTTTAGGCATCTCCAGAGGGAGTGTATAGTGCAGTTAAAATACTTTCCTGTTAGTTTAGTCTTCAACATTTTATGTTGCTTTGTTTTTCAGACAGCAGCTGACTTTCATATGGGAATGTCTTTTGGATCATACCCTTGGATTACACCCATGAATGGAAAGGCAATAGATCCTACCCACTCCTAACCTCTCATTCAAGGCGAAGAGGAAATCTGTGCCAAAGAGAGCGAGCTGCACTAGAAGAGTGGTCTTCGCAGCTGTGTGCTGAATGGATGTGTAAAGAGGTAATGCTTCAATTGCAAGGCAGAGGAAAAGGGAACACTGTTTTCACAGCAGATATTTTCCAGCCCACTGATGTAAAACCCCCTTGTTTCCTTATTAGGGGATACGACACAGACTCTTCCACACTTGGAGAGACTCTAGGCAAAGCAAATGTTCACATGCGTGCAATGAAGCTGCATCACAACAGCTGCAGGTTTAAGCAGTCCTTTCTGCTCTTGGTAAGTGTGAAAAATCATTGGCAAATGAGGTCAGTGTTGGTCCTAGGTCTGTTTCACATGCTGTCAGTTAAAAGGTAAAAATCAGGGGATTTTGTAAGTGAAGGCAAATTTGCATTTTTTACCTGACATGTTCTTACTACAGAGATTAAAATGTGAAGAAAGCTACCTCTGCATCATTCCCTGTATGCTTCTCTTGACTGGCATTACTGTCCTCATGCCTTTTTCAAACTGTCTCTGCTTTCCTCTCAGATTTGGGGGTACCAGCATAGTGTTTCAAAGGTAAAAGTGGAATGTGTTAGCTTTCTCTAACTGACTTGAAAACCCATAGTGAAGTGGCAGTAGCATAGGCACAAGTCAAGCTATACTTCGTGCCCAGGAGCTCTGCCAAGCAGAGTCAGTTTGTGCTGTAATTCACACCAGTACATCGTAGCTGGCATAGCCATTGCCAAACTAACTAGTTTGAAGGTAACACTGATACTGAGTCTCTACTCTGCAATCCTCCAAATACACATAGCTGCAACTTAACACATCCCTGACTATTGTACTTGCTTCTGTCCTTCAGAAATAGCTTTTGTCTAGAAGAAGTTGTAACGTTGATATTTGTTAGCTGGCAGACTTGAAAGTTTGGATGCTTTTATTGTAATAATTCAACAGGAATTTTGGTACCCCCAGTTACTGAATCTCACAATGCATGGCAAGTGTTTCTGAAATGGGTACAATGACTGGATGGACTGAGAAGAATGTACTTGCAGAGTGAAATTAGTAGTGAGAGTGCCACATTTCAGGCTTTTTTCAGGTTTTATTAATTCAGACTGCCTTGCATGTACTGACCATCCATCTGCAATTGGGGTGCTGCTAGTGTATGTCTTCTGGGTTAGCTGTACCCAAAAAGAATGCGTTTTGTGCAAGTGCCACAACGCAGACAAACAGCAGTAACACAGGGCTAGGGAGGAGGATAAAATAAAGGTTGCCTTGAATCTCATAATCTAAACCAGCAAAGAGTACTACACCTTAATTTTAAAGCATTATTGTTTATTGCATGTAAAAGGAGCGGAGTGGGGTGACTGAATGGTGCATTCCCAAAAGTAAGAAATTTAGATATCTTTTAATCAGAGGTTTTTTGAAATTAGTATTTTACCTTACGTTTTCAGGGTAATATTTTACACCAGTGTATGTTGGGTATATATGCAAAAAGTTATAACATACTTGAGGTTTTACAGTCTCTTTTCATAGCTGTTCCCATAGGCAATGCAACTTGCAATTTTGGGGGGTTTTAAAACACTGTGTGAAAAAGTGTGGGTAGCTTAAAGTGACAAATAGTCAGGACTGTTTACATTTCTCTTTTCCTAGTATTCTGCTGGCTTATCAGAGTATGTTTACAAGTGAATGCCACAAATGGTTTGACTGAAGTTGTGAAATGCTCATCTAAAAGATTTCAGATTAGCATTTTTTTGTATACCGAGCCTTTATACCAGAATAAGCATGCTTAAATATTGCCTCAGCTTACACTGTCCTACTGACAGGTTTTTTTCCTTAACAAATAATTATTTGGGGAGAAAAAAAAGGAAAAAGGTGGCTGTGTTTTGATTTGATCTTTTTTTGTGTGTGTTTAATTTTGGAGTTTTGGGGTTTTTTTTTGGTGTGCTCCTATCTGAATGTTCTTTATAATGTCAAAGAGACTGAGAGGGCATTTCCCACTCCATTTCCTCCAGATATAATTTACCACGGGATTGTAGAAATATGTGAACTGTAGTATAGGGAAGAAGAAAGAAATAGCATTTCCCTTAATATTGGTATTACTGGGTATACTGGGTGAAAGAGTACAAACTTAAACTGCAAGCCTGGTGTTTAAGTTGGTAGTGTTCAAATTCTTTAATTAAGGAACTTGAAAGGACTCCAATTCTGAGTTTATTTCTGCATTAATTTTTTATTCACAAGGATTAATTGTGCGGGGCAAGTAAGATAAACTGTCTTGAGCAGAAGTGAGAAAAAGCAGTATGTATACACTATATATTTGCAAAGTCAGCAGCACAGTTACAGTGATAATTTGATCCTGGAAGCTAGCATCTGGCATGCTGACCTCACGGGCTGACAGAAGATCCACACATAACATGTGCAACCAACTTAATAATGGGGGAAAAGTTGGCACAGTTTGTGCTTACCACACAAAACTGTCCCGCGTGCGCGTGGCAGAGGGATGATGTGTCCCTGTCAACACCTGGGAGAGCATTCCTTGTTGGAAAGGGAGGTTGCCTTCAGAGGCAGAAGTCACACGCTTAGCAGTTTCATTAGAGAAAGTTGCATTTTGGGGAAGTATTTCAGGATTGTCTGAGGTGTGGTTTAAAGATTTCTTACGTATGTTAAGAAGCAACAACTGTCCACTAAGCTGAGAGCACAGTGTAATGAAAATATAGCCAACCTGATGGAGAAATACTGTTTCATTCTTTCAACAATGAACACAGTTGTGCTGGCAAATGATGGGTACAGACTGAGTAAGGAGCCAAAGCCATTTGAAAATAATATAAAATGATACCTGCTGTCACATCTCCTGGAGTTAGGGTCTTACCATGATTTCTAAGCTGAGTCAGCCTTTACCTTGTTGGTAGCTTCATAGGAGAGCTGGTAAGGGAAACCTATCACATTTATCATAGCCAAAATCAGTGCTGCACCTTACCCCATTATTCACCTTGAGTATTTTGGACTTCCAGAGGGTGATACTGCAACCAGATCCTGGCCCCTAACACTGATTAACTTCCCCTCAGCAGGTTTCACCAAGGAGGACTATAAATCAGATGTGCCTTGCTCATGTTCTAAACTGGGTAATTAAATTTTCCCTGCCTACATTACCTTGGAAGTTTCAATTACTTTACAGCTTTTTTTCCCTTCTGTATTTGATTTCCTGATCTGGTTTGCAGTATTTCTTTGCTCTTGTACATGTGTCTACTCCAGATACATCTGTATTTGAACCACAGTAATTCTGTCCTATGTGATGTTTGTATAGCCCTTGCAAATATGCTAGGAACCAATGAATATATGTGTTTCCTTAGTGATATAACAGTGATTCATGATACATTATCCTTCACCATACTTTAAAATAAATATGCCCATGTTTTTTATGCACTTGGAAATGCAGAGAGCCACATTGTTTATGGAGGCATTGCCCTCAGCATAGAACACCCAGAGACATGGAGAATATCCTTCAGTTCAGAGCTTTTCCATGTCACCATCTAAATCAGCACGTGGAGGGCAGGAAACCGCTTCTCTGATAAGAGGCTGCAGGCCCTGAATATTTTGTTTGTTCTGGAACATGACACATCTTTTAGCTGCCACACCTCTTACCTACCTCTTTGCTATTACTCTCAAAATAAGTTGAAGCTCTGGCTTAGGTCATGAGAGCTCTGCAGAAACATGGTTATAAATTCCAGACAGTCAAATGAAACTTCTCACATCAGATGAGAATACAGAGCAGAAAGATTTGATTTAAGGCACAGTGATCCAGGTTGATGCACTGATGTAATTTCCATCCCTCAGAAAGGTTAAAAGGAAGAAATAATAAAAAAGAATGTTGTAACTAAGCCTATCACTGAGATCTCTACCTGGGGAATATTGATTTGATACTATCAGGCCAGAGGAAAGGCAAGGGTTCTTGCATTTATTGTAGCAGTAATAAGGTGAAGTTGTACTTCTCAATGATGTTCCACTCCAAACACAAACACTGAATCAATATTCAAAGCTGCTGTTTCCTACTGGAAAAGTCCACAGCAGGAGAAGTTGAGGAATGAATTGCGTTGCCCACATAGATTTAAAACGTACACCATGGGAATACATTAGTTCTATGCTTTTTTACCCAGGCGTTGCAAGAGGGCTCTTGGACTTTGATGTGCTCGGATTTTTCATGTTGCTTGTAACGTAGTTCAGATGCTGCTGTGAGATTACCACTGCTGGTAGCCTAACAGTAATCTGGATACTGAGTTTTAATGTAGCAGTACAAGAAGACTTTTTAAGCACAACATTCCCCCTACAAAGCAAAGGTTCTGCCAGCACCAGCAGGCAGCTGGGGCAAGTCTGCCACAGCCTGGCAACAGTAAGGGGGTGCTGAGACCTTCCCTTATGTTGTTACCGTCCATCGCTTGGTTATGGTAAGGAGGAGATGGGCCAGAGAAAGGAAAATGGAGAGGTAACATGGAAAGGAAGTTGAGAACAGGCATCAGAACAGGAGAAGATACTGAGTTTGCCTTGGAACCTGCTATTGCTGCATGGTAAAGGAATACATAAAATTAACTATTTTTATAATTAAAATAATGATACTAGAGCTTGCTCAATAAAATACCTTTTCCTGTCTGGAATAGCATTCAAATCCAACCTTGTTTTCAATAGAGAAGCAACACAAAATTTGAGTGCATTTTGAGTGCTTGTGTAGCCCCATATATAGGTCAGATGAAGTGATTCAAGTATAACGTTTTGTTCGGTGTGCGTAATACTGACTTCTTTCTTTGCCCCATCTCACCCTCTTCTGGCAGACTTAAGCAGGAAAAGGCATTGCATGGATAGAGTGTCAATATACTCTTAACATCACCGTTTATCTAGCCCTGCTTATGACGATAGCTGGCTATTGGCATAATGTTTATAGAGAGCATGAGATGAACTAGAAAGCAGGGCAACACCATTGGCCTTGCTGCTGTTCAGAGTCAAATAAAGCCCTATCCCAGATGGGGAAAACTATTCAGAAATAGAAATGAGTCTGATTTTCTTGCTGCCTTGCACTGATAGTGGTCATTTACTCTTGGGGTGTTATTATGTAAAGAATTATTGTTTTGAATGTGCTCTATACCCATGTTGGTGCTGTTAATGAGTGTTGTCAGGGGTTGACTGTGGGACTGCAGTGATAGTTTCTCTTTTGCCACCTCTCACATTTCTCAGTGTCATTTCATCACAGCCAGTATCCACCTATTGAGGACAGCTCTTCCAGGCACTCTGAAGGCTGGAAGGCAGTGCAAGTT